GCCTGCCCGCAGGATCTCATTTCAAATAGGGTAGTGGTCTGGGTGACGTAGTAGATTTTACTAGTAGTTTTAAGATTTTGTCCAAACTTCCATTTGGGGAATCATTTCAAGATCTACTTCCAGCATTGTTTCATGTCTTGTTTATCAGTCAGTAATGCCAACTGTCATTACTTGTCTCCGACGCAATCAATCAAGTTAAACTGAAGCCATTCAGCCATCGCTTTTTTATCCAGTTTTATGCATTCCTCAAGTATGGCAGTGTAAAAGACGTGCTATGCTGATAGCGTTTGATTTGGCGCCTCAGTTATGCCTTGGAGTCCCGTGTTGGTGATGCATGTTCCCCCTATGGCGAACAGTTTTTCTGAGTAGTCCATAAGCCTCTTCGACAATCATCCAATGCGAATGGTAGCACAAAAATGAGCAAAACCAAGGATAAGTTAGGATCACTTAAAAGCCGATTAGGCATGTAATGGTAGTTGAAAAGCAAAAGGTCGCTTTAGAAAAATTTTTTTTCAAATAAAAGATGGGGAGACATGCACCGTCTCGAGAGCTTAAATAATTCCAAACAGACTACAATCTTAACTTGGGCTAATGAACGTCGCCACTTAACTGGGGTTCAGAATTGACTGCTGAGGCTGCGCAATTTTTGTTTGCAATTATGAGTATTGTGTCCCCAGATGAGCAAGCTGGATGGATGTTAAACAAAGGCGTGCTTCTGCCATCTGGGAAACGTGTGTATTTTACGCCTCTACAATAATATTTTATTGAGGCACATTCAAGCGTTGTTTTGGTCATTGCCTCATGCATAAAGCCCGGGTTTATGAGGACACGAAATATCTCCACGACCAGTGAGCCGTTGACTGGAGGTCGCATTGAGCGTTTTGAATGGACAAAGACGTATGAAAAGTCCGTTGAAACTCTGCTTTTGGTTTGTGACACGAGTCGGACTTCGGTGTCTTTCTTTCCTTATTTTAGCCTACAATTAATGCCATTTACTTGCGAGCAATTATCTCATGGTAAAATTCCCAACTATTTAATGAAGGAGCAATGTTTCAATCAGTTCCCATAATCAGAAGAATCAAGAGCCTTATTGTTGCACCTGAGCGATAAGCAATGGATTGTAAACCCAAAAAACCATTTAATATCATTAAACATCCTCTCTATATCATTTTAAGGTATGAAAGGCAAGCTATTTTAAATGCCTTTTTGTAAATGTGTATCTGCGCATGTAAGCTGATTTCGCACATTGAGATCGGCGTGGTGATAGCATATCTTTTGAATTCCTCCCGAACAAATTCTTCCCCCTCACGGCAAGTTGGTTAAGAATTGACTATTGGCAGTAAAAGCGAATATGGGAGTGGGTGTACTCGAGGCACATTAAGGAAATGAAGCTGACTTACTCAACGTGTGTAGGTGATAGGCGTGTACGCCCACAAGAGGAGCCCAGTGGCTGTGTAGCAGCAGTCGATGACTTGTGGTGAGCGCTAATCGGTGCTGTGCCTCGCGGGGCAGGCGGTTGGCCAACTCTCGTTCGCTCGCTCGTCTTCGCTCCCTCTCTCCACTCTGCTCTCGTCTCCTCAGGTAAGCGTGGTGCGCGTGTGCATGCCGTGTGTGCGTCCGCGCTTAGGTAAACCAGATGTGGGATGCAGATAAGACGTGTCCCCCGGCAGCAGCAGCAGTAGCAGCAGCAACTGCTACCTTCACTCCCTTCAGTCCTTCCTCGCCCCCTTCTGTGCCTCGCACCGCAGCACATGGCGAGGCGCAGAGGTCTGCAGCGTGGTCACACCTCACAGAGATTTTGTATGTGCGTGTGTACGTGCATGTGCTTGTGCGCGTGCTCACATAAGTCTGCGCGTCCATCGGACGACCAATCCGAGCTGTTCTGAGAGAAAGAGAGAGAGAAATTTTCTTGTTAATAATAAATGTGCGTCGGTAGGTTGTAGTGTACAGGATTTCTGCTCTACTCCCGCCTCCCATTCTCCACTAGGGTTGTGAACTTTACGTCAGCAAGCTTACTTACCTAAATGACTAATTTTCCTGATTAAATAATCATTATACAGAATTCGCAATCCTCTCGGTTTCCGCGTTCTTTTAGCACGCTTTATTTTGAGCTTCAAGGATTAGAGGGTGGCCATAAACAGCAAACATTTGAACCATATTTTCACCCTCCTTTGACATTTTGGCTTTCCAACGAATCATATTTTTAACTTAAATTAAACAGCAAATCGTTTAGTAATTCAAGTTTCGGTAAAAGTTGTGTTGAATAGTTGATGGATTTGGGACGCATGCAAAGAGGGCCAGTTCAGGAAATGCGAGAGTGGGCAGTGTAAGGACTGTGACTCCATGACCTATGCACCCCATTTTTAACCCCTGTTTGAAATTGGAGAGCGAAACATGATGTGAGCTCTGCCGAGGTGGAGATTCCATCAAGAATTGGAGCACTTCATTGACTTGCATCTTCCGCCTTTACAATGCAAGCGCTCAGTATGAATGAGAATGAATGGAGTCTTAGGGAGACACCAGAGTTGTATCCTTGAAAAGCGAGGCCTTTTCTACTCGAATCTTATTTAAAGCCTTCTTTACTCCATGAGAGAAGCGGTTCCTCCTCAGGCAAGCTGCTTAAACAATTATCATCCTTCCGTCCAGTAACAAAGGCGTAACTACAAATGTAGTTACTAATTTTCTTTCATTTTTTCCTTGCTACCCATTATCTAATTGTTATTTCTGATAATCACCATATTTTTGAAACCTATGGCTCTAAAAAGAGTACCAATCCTTTTTTAAGGAGCTAAAACAAGTGAAGTGCTTCACCATCACTGAAATTCAAGTTGTAACCGTGACAATCTCAGCAGCAACGTTAGATTTGAAATTGTTTTTTATTCATTATAGATGCTCTTTACATCAAGGATGCAGAGAAATAAACCTTTACTCGCCTTTTAATCTACTGGAAGTTGCATATCCATTGTCCGCAAACCATGATGGAGTGCCCTTTAATGGAATCCAAATATTGAACAATGAATGGGAAGCCTAAGTCCAAGACCTAAGCCATACCTCAGCTTGAAGCGAATTCAACGTCTACCCTGTCAGAGCTCCCTAATGCGATGGTATGAAAGACATGATATGAAGATGCCACAACACCACCGTAAGTGAGATTTCAGCGAGGGACATTAAGTGAGGTTGCTTAATCCTCAACCAAGGCATCAGCACAGCGACTTCCAAAAACATCAAAACAATTAATTGGTGACTAAAAGCGTAGATGACTGATAGGATGTGGCTTATGGGTAATGCACAGTTCTTCCGTGAATCCTCCAGCCGCTTCAGTTACTCCTGTTCAAAGCATGTAGCCATACAGCGGGAGGATTTTGGCAAACCAAGTTGCACGATCACTGTACTAATTGCCTCGCCCATCAGTTCCAACAACTAACAATCACAAGTGCTATTTACAATTTAATATTTTTAAAGAGTTAGGGGCTAGGCGTTGTAGTCCGCCTGACTCACAACAAACTGTTTTGAATGCGATTCCTATCCCTGCGCATAAAATACAATTCTTTCAACAAAAATGCTAATCTTGACCCATCCAATTAATCAACGAATGTGTGGAAATGGACCCCATTCCAATTGCACGATCCACCGTGAGCGGTGCGATCAGTGTTCGCCTAGCATCAGATGCACTCATCCTCAACATCCTCCTTTCCTGCACCAAAATGACAGTAAGAAGCATGCAATTCCTTTATTGAGCGTATTTCCGAGTAGGGAAGAGACGGCTGACCAAATCCGGCATTGATAAGAAATTCCACAGCTGTATTCAACGGAATGCGAAAACACCTAGACGGGGCAGAAACTTCAGTGGTCGGCTCCGGGTGCGATACCTACAAAGTGGAAAAAATTTAAGAAGGCGGGAATTTGGGAGAAACACATTTTGTTGTCAAATTGATGCAAACGAAAAAAGATGTCACTAATACGCCTCTATACTGAGAAATGAAACACATTAGGCTGGAGAGAAAAGATCGCAATATGGATATACAGAAGCGGAGGGAGACCTACCTCACATCACCTTGAGGACAAAGAGCTTTGATGTCCGAGTTGTCCTTGGTGAGAAAGATGGGGAGACAAGAGGCGATACGAGCGAGTTGGCAGGTCAGGAGGTTCTCAGGCTTGTTTTCACTACCTGCGGCAAGCACCTCCCCTAAGACTCCCATTCCTGTCTCGTCAGACGCTGTGCGTCCGTCCTCGCAAGGCATCTCTCTCCAGTAGCAGTTTACTTCTGTCTCCATCTCCTTTGTCCAAAGAAGAATAAACCACATCAAGCAACCCTACTTCTTCACTAGACAGTAACACACAGACGTGTGATTATGCTTACTACAATCAAACCTTAGCTGCGTATGCTATCGAATTTATGTGGGTTCAGAAAACCTCAGCTACAAACGCTAATCTAGATAGGATATCTTCGGTGCATCCATCAAGAAGCCCGAGTTTGAAGCGGGACAGATGGAAAAAACCTTCACACCGAAAAAATATAGCATTATTCACAAGATAGTACTAGAGGCGTTCGGAAACCCAATTCTTCCAATCTGCGTTCACGCTAAACCTCAAGTCACACATCGGCCCTCACTAGGAATAATAAGGAAGTTAAGCACGATATGCGTTGTTATTATCATGTACGAGGTGCATTTAACGCCTCTAAAACACGCCAATGTACCTGGATATGCATTGTGGTCAAGTCGCCAGCGGGGAAGACGTCAGTCTCACTGGCCAGAAATATCAACGAAGGATCATCGGGATAGGACGCAGGAATCGATGCACCGATTGTTAACACATCTACAAGCCAAAAGCAGCAATACCGTCATATCACAACATGTTCGGACAGTCGCATTAATGTGGACCGTCGCTGTATGCTGATAGTTGCTGCGTTTCTTTGTCATCACCACACCACGTCGTCATGATATTCCCCTTGCGCCCTTGTAGTATAGCACTATATAACTACATACCCCCTTCCCCACTGATAACGAAAGAAGGACAGTGCGATGAAACCAATTTGAGCCATCCAGAAACAGAATCAGTTTACTTAATTCACTTACAAGCCTCAGCTGAAGAAATGGCTGATCTACAGGAAAGCACAAGAACCACTTTATGAAGACCAAAGGAAAGTGAATTTTCACTACTTAAAAGGCTTCAGTCACATGGGATTCGTGACAAGAAGAATTGTTCTAAACACAACGTCATAGTTCCAAGGTACGCACCCATCCCCGAAGAGACGCGTAAAATGTCCATTACCGCACAATACACGTGCAATTTTAGGCTAAACATGAAAAACAATTAAAAACATACGATAAGTTCCACGGTCTTTAAGAGCGAATCCCAGGTGGATGTCCCATACCCATGCGATCTGCAGATGTACCTATCTGTCTTCATTTTTACTTTTAACAGAAGCGATACGGAAAAACTTCTGAGGTTAAACGTCACTAAATATGATATGAGAATACGAACTCAACGTATCGATACGTTAAGTTGATGCGACCCTAAAGCTTTGCACAAGTGGGTCCTGTCCAAGTGCTTCTAGTTCGAGCCCAATTAACTTTACCTTCGAAAAGCCGAAACGATAAAAAAAAAGCATCACATTCACTCTAGATTTAGCCATAACAGCAGCGGTTCTAATTATTTCGCTATCGCCATGAAAGCGGTGCCGTATAGCAGCGCTAATAGGGCGAGCACTAAAAAATTGCATGCTCTTTCGATGAGAATGACCGCAATAAATCTGACGACAATTGCCCCGTAATCGAAACTAGATCGGGATTAAGTAATAAGAGGGGAGGAAGGATGCACCTACCCTGCCCGCGAAAGGCCATCTGACACTTAAATATGGCATCGGTTGGTTGAATCAAATCGAGCGCCATAAAAGTTTGTGCACGAGGCCATGTCTGGAAGAAAGAAAGACAACAAACACATCGTCAGCTTAGAAAGCAAGAAGATACCCACTTATACATTAAAATTTTTACCATTTCTAAATTCGTTGGTTAAATAATCACACTAGGTTTGAGCAACACATTAGTTTCGCTAGTTGAGGTATTGAAATCAACGTGCCGGTTTGGTTACAATGAGCCTCATATAAATAAAATCATCCACAGAAAGTTAGCAATGTTGCCTATTATAATTCGTTTCACTTTTTACAAGAATGTGCTGAAATCATTGATACAGTATGTCGCGATGAAAGTGACAATCATCAAAGGCTGATTTCCAATACTAATAAGAAGGAAATTCTCCCTCCAACATGAGGAGAGTTCTTACAAAACGTTGTCAAGAATTTGCGAAAATTCAGGCAATGAGCACTGCGGAAAGCGTTGAATGTATAGTTGTATAGCGTCAGCTTCAGATATTAGGGAGTGACATCGCAAAGAAATTAGGTACATCAAAGATTGACAAGCGCAAACGCCATTTTTGGGTAGACCACAAACAATTCAGAGTAGTACGCATGGTCTACTTAACACTTTTCAGTACCAATTTTGTGAAGTTCTGGCAAACTTGAAGTTGAAATACATTCAAAAATCCAAGCCAGTATTATTACACGCTTTCCTAGCCGACATTCGGAATGATTACAAACCCTTTACTCATTCAATCCCAAACACTAGACTATGAATATACTTCGCCTGATATTTAAAATAGTGTAGAACTATTGCATAGTTTGTGTAGTTCGGTGTAAAAATAAAGATAAAAATAGATAGGAAAACAGCATCGAGACAGGTTGTCTGAAACATGAATGATGTTGATGACGAAAGATCTCGAAAAAACTCAAAGCCACTTACGCTTATGTCCTTGAAGGTAACACGGTCCCACGTGCTTAAACAGATATCTTTGCTGATGGGAAAGAAGGGTTTCTGGTTCTCTGAGAGATTGAGCACACCGTTTTCAATTGCATGTATCTGAAAGGAAATAAAAGTTTTGTGAACAAAGGAGAAAAGTGATTATTTACCAACCACTTCGAAATGGTAATGGAATGAGTGCGCATTAATCTCATTTGTTTGCATTGAGCCAAAATACGATTGCTAAGAATGATCTCTTGGTCGAAAGGCTTCGCTCTCTAATGCATACTTGTGCCTTATTC